GGAGGTCTGCAGTGAGTTATGGTGTCTGAGTAAAAGCAACCGCTGCATAACCAACAGCATCCCTGCTGCTGAGGGGACCATATGCCAAACCAACACCATTGAAAAGGGGGTAAGGAAGCCCGGGTCACCATAGCAAGTTGGCAGTGAGTGGTTAAATCCCTCTTCCAGCAATAACTGTGATTATTGTTTGTGTTGGTGAATGCAGAGCTGATTTAAGGACACCCACCATCCTGCCCTCCCCTGCTTCCCAGAGCCTGGAGCCACCTCCACCCTGCCTGCTGTCTCAGAGGGAGGCTGGGATGTGCCAAGGAGCCCAGGGGCCCGTAATCACCCCAAAGTACAGATCATCTTTCATATTGCTGGAAATGCAGAATACGAAGTCCCTGCTCCAGTGAGCTTCTTGGTCTCTCCTAGGAGGCACAGAAAGGTGTCCTGAAGCAGTGCCCTATGCTTTAGGTGAACATCTTGTTCTCGGGTCTGCTGAGGTCTCCAGCCTGTCCTGAGAGAAGGGATTTTTGCCTCGATTTCCCCAGGAGGGACAATGGGTTGGTAACATGCTTTCAGAGGACCTTGTGAAAAGCTGCCTCACAAGGCTAGATCTGATGAAACCTTCATTTTTCAGACTCAGCTGAGAGAAGACGGTAGCATTTCTCATGACCATATAATTTGAAATTTGACTTGTTCATATCGCTTTATTCCCTGCGTCTCCTACACCCATTTGCACCAATATGAAGTGAGTGTGTAGCACCGTTAAAACAAAGTGCCTTTGCAAACCAAATAATAGTTGGGACAATGGACAATCAGGACTGGGACCTTCTCAATTAAATGGACATGTGCTTTTCCACTAGAGGGAAAATCATTCCCAAGAAATTCAAGAATAATTTCAAGTCCTTAAGCAGCTGGAGAAGCTAATGTACAGGAAATAGGTTGACTTTGTCAAATGCATTATTCCTTTCCAACAGTCATCTTAGTTCTGCAGGAGATTAGATTGAAAAGGAGTGGACCGTTCCTGGGGCTGCACATCCCTGCTGCTGAAAACTCACTGTATACAGTGGCGATTTTTTGCATCAGTCATCATTTTTAACAGTTTTTCCCACTTTTAAATATCTCTTCTTCCCCCACTCACTAGTTGTTTTTTAACCAAGGTTCTTCAAAAGTCCTAAGAGAAGTGAAGTGACAAGCAGTCGCAGCCCCCAGGACTCATGGGAGCTCTTCCCAGTGAAGATACTGACTCAGCTTGAACCCCCAGTATCTTCCTGTGCTTCTGTTTATCCTTTTGTATTAATTTGTGCTTCAGAAGTGTTTTTATATCCTTGGGTAATACAAGGTGCTTCTGCACCTTCACCAGCTGGAGCTCCTGGCTGGTGGCCCCTGTGCTCGCCGGCTGGGTGTTCCCTCAGA